GCGTCTCCTGCATCGGCAGGCGGACTCTCAAGCACTGCGCCACCAGGGAAGCCCCATTCTAATCATTTTTAAATGTAAGGTTCAGTGGCATTAATTCCATTCACAATGTGTAACCATCCCCACCATTCATCTCCAGAACTTTCTCATCTTCCCAAACCAAAACCCTGTCCCCATTAAACACTCACTCCCCATCCCCATTCCCCCAGAATGTAAGTTTCTTGAGATCAGAGATGTTTCATTTTGTCATTGCTATATCTTTAATCCCTAGACCAGTGGTTCTTACCTGTGGGAGATTTTACACGCCATGGGACATCTGGTGATGTCTGGGGACATTTTTGGTTATCATGACTTGGGGGGTTGGAGGTGATTCTGGCATCGAGTGGGTAAAGACCAGAGATGCTGCTCAACACTCTACAGTGCACAGGACAGCCCCTTCCCTAAGAGAATTATCTGGTCTGAAATATCAACGGTGCGGTTGTTGAGAAACCCTGCCCTAGAAGAATACCTGAAACGAAGTTAGTTCTCAGTGAAGTTTGTTGAGGCAATGAAATGACTAAACCTCCTTGAATCTCCTTTTCCTGATTTGCAAAGGGGATTCATACAAATACATTTGATCCTCATTATTCACGGTATTTGTAAATTTGCCTACTGGCTGAAATTTATTTGTAACCCCCAAAATCAATACTTATGGTGCTTCCAGGGTCATTTGTAGACAACACAGAGAAGTGGAAAAATCTGAGTGCTGGTTGTGCATGTGCTGTCAGCTGAGGTTGAACCCAATGATGTTTATTCCAGCCTAGGCTGTAAACACCTGTCCTTTTCTGAGTCTATTTAGTGCCGTGCTTTTAACATTTTTGTGCTTTTTTTTTTTTGGTGATTTGGCATTTATAATGGCCCCCACACATGGTGCTGAAGTGCTGTCTAGTGTTTGTTAGCACAAGAAGGCTGCGCTGTGCCCTTATGGAGAAAATAAGCATGTTAGATAAGCTTCATTGAGGTGCGAGTTATAGTGCTCTGGAATGCGAGTTCAATGTTAAGGAATCTACAATGTATATTAAATAAGAAGCCTTTAAACAAAAAAACACACATAACACAAGGTTATGTATTGATCAGTTGATGAAAATGTTGTGACCAGAGGCTCACAGGAACCTAACCCTGTATTTCTGCTAGGAGCAATGGGTCAGTATTTTGCTATTTCAGTGTTTGCAGCAACTTTATAGAACAGAACTGCTGCCAATAACGAGAATCAACTATACCTACTTCTGAGGGCTATTGTGAGGACTAGATAAGATTATGCATGTAAAGCATTTAGCACAATGCTTATAGCAAATAACAGGGAAGAAAAGATATTATGCAACCAGAGAAAACATCAAAACAGACCTGCTTTTGTAAAAGGCATGCAGCCTGGGTTATCTAGTTAGAGCTGCAGGGAATTGGAGGGAGGCCATGTGTAATTACCACACTGGCCTTTAGCCAGGGCATGGCAGGAGAGCTGTGTTTGCCAGACGCACTAGATTGTTCCTTGTGGCCACACATGGTCATTAAGACACAAATGGAAGAATGCCATCCACTAAATCACCCATACGGCTTTCCTTGGCACCCTGGGCTTGCCATGGTTTCCATCCAAGAATTAACTAGCCCTGTGCCTGCTTAAAAGGGTGGCAAAAGAACACCACCCCACCGTGGTTGGTAAATGTACTCTTTTTTTTTGCCTTTAAAAAATTAATATAAAAAATTGAAATAATTGTAGATTCACATGGGGTTGTAAAAAGTCACACAGAGAGACCCCATGTACCCTTTTCCACCATGTTACCCAATGGTAACATCTTGCAGAATTATAGTATAATGCAGTAGCACTATTGCTTTTGATATAGTCAAGATACGGAACATTTCAATCACCACAGGATCTCTCATGTTGCCCTTTTATAGCCACCCCCAGTCCCCATTACCCCCTCCCCATGTCCTTAACCCCTAGAAATCACAAATATGTTCTCCATTTCTATGATTTTTGACCTTTCAAGAATTTTATGTAAATGGAACTTTTCCCACTCAGCATAATTCTCTAGAGCTTTATCCAAGTTGTGGTGTGTATCAAGAGTTTATGCCTTTTTATTGCTGAGTAATATTCCATTTATAGGAAATGTCCAGAACCAGCAAATCCATAGAGACAGAAAGCAAACTAATGGTGGCCAGGGGCTGGGGTGGGGGTGGGGAAGTGACTGTTAAGAGTTCATGGTTTATTTATTTATTTATTTATTTATTTATTTATTTATTATTTTTTTGCGGTACACGGACCTCTCACTGTTGTGGCCTCTCCCGCTGCGGAGCACAGGCTCCGGACGCGCAGGCTCAGCGGCCCAGCTGCTCTGCAGCATGTGGGATCTTCCCGGACCGGGGCACGAACCCATGTCCCCTGCATCGGCAGGCGGACTCTCAACCACTGCGCCACCGGGGAAGCCCCATGGTTTATTTTTGGGTGATGAAAATGTTCTGGAATTAGTCGTGATGGTTGCACAACTTTGTGAATATACTAAAAACCACTGAATTGCACACCTTAGTTGGGCGAATTGTATGGTACATGAATTATATCTCAATAAATCTGTTCTTAACCAAAGACTACCTTAATTGTAATAGTTTGGTTATGTTCTGCTTCCCTGAATCTAAGTTCTTGAGGACTGGTGCCATGCAGCTTACTGTTGCACCCCCCCCAAGATGGCCCTGCCTATAGTAAGTGGGTCGAGAAATAGCCCTCAAAATGAATTACCCTTAGAATAGGGTTTCTCCACCTTGGCACTGCTGACGTTGGTGCCAGGTCATTCTCTGTCGTGGGGGCCCTCCTGGGAACTGTGAGGCATTGAGCAGCATCCCTGGTCCCCATCCACTTGATGCCAGGAGCACCCCCAGTCGTGACAACCACAGATGTCCCCAGACACTGCCCACTCTCCTCTGGGGGCAAAACACTCCAGTTGAGAACCACTGATTTAGAGCCACTGAATTTTAGGTACTGGAGCCTTAGAAGGCTCCACGAAAAGACTGGCACCCAGGGGGCTGCTGAAGGGACAAGCAGGACTTGGCCGTATCAGTAGGGCCACATTCACCCATCCAGAAACGGTCAGCGGGGCAACCAAATCCACCCAAGGGCACAAAAAGGAAAATCACTTCAGCCTAGAAATCCCCAAGCTGACAGGTTAAAGGGAAGGAGGGGAATCCGTCAAGGGGCGGGGCTTGCGGCGAGGGGCGGGGCTTGAACGGAAACAGAGAGGGCCGGATCTGGGGCTAGGCGGGAAGGAGGGGGTGGAGCCAAAGACCTGGATACTGGGCGCTCACAGGGAAGGTGAGGGCTCCAAGCAAGGGGCGGGGCTTGCGGCGGGGCGGGCTCGAGGCAAAGATACGCCCCCAGGCGCAGACTAGGAAGCGAGAAGGCGCAAGCTTCGCGCGGGGGGCGGGGCCTGGGGCGCGTGGCGGGGCGCGAGCGGCACGAGGCTTGGGCGCGGGCCGGATGACGTCACGCGCCGGCGGCCCCGCCCTTTCGCGCCTCTGGGTCAGCGGGCGCGCTGTGGAGAAGCCAAGATGGCGGCGAGTAATTATTACGGCTTCGCGCAGGGCGCCGGCTCGCAGTACAGGTAATGGACCCCGCGCCGCCCGCGCTGCCCCGGCCCCGGGGAGGCCGCGGCCCCGAGTTGTAACTGTCGGGCAGAGCAGAGGGGCTTCTGACGTGGGAGAGGGTTCTGGGCTTGTCGCGGGAATGGACCTGAGGGGGCGCCGAGATCTGACGAGGGGTGGGGCTGCCTGGGAGGGTACCTGGCCGGACTGGGGGAGGGGCAAGGGCCAAGGACGGAGGGTGGGGAGGTCAAACATCCTGACTTGGGGTGGGGGTGGGGAGAAGACGGAGATCTGGGAGTGCACCTGGCGGGGCAGAGGGTGGAGCAGAGACCTCGGCGAGGGAGAGCGGAGTGGAGGTGGGAGGGAAGACAGTCCTGGAGGGGTTCCTGGCCAGGCAGGGGGATGTGGGGTTTGGAGGTAAGAACCCTGATGGGGGGAGGGGGTGTTAGAGAACACGGAGACCTGGGAGGGTGACGGGGGAGAGGCAGAGGCATGGGGGAGGAGGATAGAGGCCTGACTGGAGGGGCGGGCAGAGACTTGAGGGCGTAGCGGTCTTGACCTGAGCGAAGTCCTGAGACCCAGTAGGAGAGTGGGCACCTGGGGCTTCCGGGGGAGGGAGAACAGTAAGGAAGGGTAGAGGGACCTGGAAACTCAGTGGAGGAGGCGGCTGGATATTTTAAGATCTCCTGGCAGACAGGGCCCGAGGGAAGAGCCAGGGATGGGGGTGGGCAGGGATGGGAAGCAGCCTGGGGAAGGAGGGCTCTGTGGGTAGAGACACATGGGGTGTGTCTGTACCCCAAATGTACACACGCACCTCATTCTCCAGGGCTTCTCCTTGGAGCCTGTCTGCGGTCTCAGTCCTTCAACCTGGCACTCCAGACCAGGTCCCAGGCGGGGATGCAGGCAGAGCGGGCATCCCTGGGGGAAAGTGCTCCCCTACCCACTTTCCTTTGTTGCCCTGGTGTCACTTGCCAACTGGTAGCCTGGCAGAACCTCCTCCTGGGCCAGTTTCTCACAGACTGGATTCAAACCGCCCCTTAGATAACTGAGCGACAGGTGCCTGCTGCACCACGGGCCTGTTAGGGTTGTTTCATGCTCTCATTCAGCACGTTGAAAATAGGTAAGGCTAGTGGAAAGTTAGTGTCCACCCCTCCCTCAACCCAGTTGTTGTGGTGCTGCTGTGTTCTTTCCTGTGGGATCAGGAGGAATTCGGTCAGGCCTTGGAACCAGGGGTTGTGGAAGTTGAGAGAGCTCTTCCTGCTTTCTGTATCCAGATTGGTCTGAAAGGTGTAGTGTTGGCTGGTCATGGAGTTTCTGTCAGGGAAAGAATGGCTACAGAGTGTTACATTTTTATGTTATCCTTCCCTGTTTCCATCATCCTTGGTGGTACAGTATTCTTATTGCCAGTGCTTAGTTACAGCAGCAGGACTAGGCTAGGCTGCCCTTTTGGAAATGTTCTGCCCCTCTGCCTGCTTGCTGCCACTGCTTTCTTTCCTTTCTCTCTCCTTTCTCTTTCTCTTTTTTTCTCTTTCTCTGATGCATTATTCAGTGAGATGCGGAGAATCGCTTGAATGTTAGGTTTTCTATTAAGATTACCTTCCAGAGGAGAAGTTTGAGCACTTAACTGGTAAAACAGGTAATTGCGGGCCTTCAGCAGATGTTTTTGTCATTTACCTGAATTAAGGTATTTAAACACTTTGGCACAGCTCTTGTCTGGATTCTGATGACTTAGGTGATACAGTAAACACATGTGACTAAGGATGTTAAACTACCACGAACTGAATATCAAATTAGTCTGTGTCTTTAGAATTGTCCCCAAGGGTGTGTGTTATTCCTTGAGAAAGGAGTAGATTTAACTAAATCAAAAACATAGGAATCGGGCTTCCCTGGTGGCACAGTGGTTGAGAGTCCGCCTGCCGATGCAGGGGACACGGGTTCGTGCTCCGGTCTGGGAAGATCCCACGTGCCGCGGAGTGGCTGGGCCCGTGCGCCATGGCTGCTGGGCCTACGCTTCCGGAGCCTGTGCTCCGCAACGGGAGCAGTGAGAGGCCCGCGCACCGCAAGAAAAAAACAAAAACAGAAAAAAACATAGGAATCGTAGCAAAATCAATTTTAGTCTCAGAAAACCTTGAAACAAGATAATCTGCTTTGTCTGAATAGTTTTAAATTAACTAGACATTCTCTTTTGGGGGAAACAACTTTTGCTTGAAACCTTCAGCTGCTTTTAAAGTATATATTTCTCACATAATGTGCCATGGAAAAACTGATCAGGTAACAGATTTTGTGAGTACCAAATTTATGGACAAATACTGGACAACAGTATTTACAAAGCCCATTTCATGGATTGCCAAAGCAAAGACGACAGTTTATTTCTTAGAGGAATTTTGCATAGGTCTTTTTGGCTTTTAAAATTGGTAACCATAGCCCTGGATAGTAATATTTCTTACATTGTCATCCATAAATAGGGTTGGAATCGGAACTGTTCTTAAATTGTTGTTCAGTAAGTATCGGATGCACACTTACTCTTGAAGTTATAAGAAAAGTTTGTAATTACTTGTAAATAATGATGATTTTCATTTATTTTACTTTAGGTGGTCTTTTAAATCTCATAAAGCATTTTTAGACTTAGAGTTAGTGCTGCACGTGTTCAGAATTAAGGATTAATCCCATGTGGAAAATTGAATCTGACAGTGTGTTTAATTAGCACTGAATGCAGTTTTCAGTTGTGAGGCTGAGAACTGCTCAAGAAATCCAGCAGAGTTCTGTGTGAGTTAAGTCGAGTTGGTAATGAAAGCATTGAGAGCTCAGAGCTGTACCGTGGAACGTGACAGGCGGGCCAGATCTACTGTGATATTTCCCTTTTCTAGCAGTTTTGTCAGAATACCACCCATCTAGTGTAGCTGGCTACCTCTACCTTTGCATTCTTGTTAAACCTAAATAAGACAGCTACTGGGTTTTGGTGTAATACTTGATTTCCCATCAGGAGTTCTATTTTAATAAGCTTTTGGCATAAATGTTAATAGCTGAATTCCTTCATCTGGAGAATATCAGGAAATTGGAAGCCTGATTGGAACCCCATCGAACTCAGTTAGTGGTGGGTAACAATATGAAGTGCTGGTTACTGATTCTCTGTATTGAATAAGTCCCGAGTACTTGATATCTTGTCCATTCCTCACAGTAATCCCGTGAGCTAGGTATTAATGATACCCATTTTGCTGATAAGGAAACGAAGCTCGGGGTGCAGTTACTGGTGTAGGATCCCCAGGGTGGTGAGTGGTGGTGTCTGGCTAGGAATGAGGGCTGCCTGGCTCCCAGGCCGTGCCATTGCCCCATGGTAGGGCATACCCGAGCCTGGGGAGGTGCTCGTGGTGGCAGACCTAGCCTGATGCAGCCGCTCAGCAGTGGGGCCTGCTGGCGGAGACTGGGTTCTGCCATTCTTTACGCTGTCGCCTGGATCCTGCCCCTTTAGTTTGGGTCCTAGTCAGATTGTGGTTTAGGGCCACATTCTTTAGACCTTGCAAAATTACTTGCTCTGGAGTGGGGAGGCCGAGGAAGTATCTGGTCCAGTGTCATGGGGATGGTAATGATAACCCAAGCCATGTCTCTCAGTAATCTCTTCCAGGGGCAACAGATAGCTTGGGAAAGGCAACAGAGCCCACGTCAGCCATAGGGGGCAGCATAGGCAGCCCCAGTGCTGCCAGATGAAAAATAACCCATTAACACCACCCAGGTAGGAGACCCCTGCCCTCTCAGGTACGGCTATGACCAGATTCAGAATGGTTCTGGTCATACCCAGGCCAGCCTCTGTTGCCTGCACCCCATCTCTGCCCCCCTGGTCTCCAGGCCCTTCCAGAGTGAACGTTAGCCCCCAAGGCCTGTCTGTCCCTTGAGCTTAGGTCCCAGAAACACAAGCTGCCGGAGAGAATCTGGTGTCATTGCCTCAGGGACTGGGGTGCACCTGCCACCACACACAAAAAGCAGGAGAGTGGGGCTCGTGGGAACCTGTAGTTGAGTTTGAAGCAGTCCTGACAATGATTGCACCTCAGCAGCACTTCCCGTGTACTCCCCGGTGGGATTGACTGGAGGCGGACCCTGGGAAAGCAAGGCACAGGAGTTCTCCTTTTACAGTGTGCCTGCTGTTGTTTTCTTAAAGACCCATCTCAGAAAGGCTCTCAACTGCAGGCGAGACCTGATTTCAGTATATTTTAAGGAAAACCTTTCAAATGACAGAACTATACTATCTGTGTTCCAACCACACGTACATTAGGTACCTTTAAAATTTTTGAAGTGTGGATTTTGAATTTTCATTTTATCCATTTTAGAGCTAAAAGTGAACTCACCAACATCAGAGCATAAGTTAATTCCTAGTAGAGATTTTTTTCCTCAATATGTTCTGTTTCTGAATTTTTTAAAGTTTTATTTTATATTTTGTCTTTTGTCTGGATCTACCAATGTGTGTATTTAGAATGATCAGAACAAATACATCACATTTAAAAGCATTTTCAAATGATCCTTTAAAATAGTTTTTTCATGTGAGTGTAATTGGTGTTCTCATATGTGGTTATGGAGGTAAGGAGACAAAGATCATTGATCTGGATGAATAACTGAGCAGTCCTAAAAAGTAAGAGAAACGTGTAGAAAGGGTATTTGTAAACCTCGTATTCATTCCTTATTTTATAGTCTATATTTTATATTCATTATTCTATATTCATTCTTTATTCATTCTTTATTAGTAGATCAAAAGTCTGTGAACCTTCAGATCAGGGATTGCAGATGGTCTTGTAAGGAGCAGACACATACATGTGTGAATACCGTCTAAGATAGAGGATAGAGGGTCTGTCAGGGAAGGATCAAAACAGCCTGCGCACCCCACCCTCCCACCTGTCATTGACACGTGGCACTGAACCCAGAGTGGCAAGTCTTCCCCGTTTCCCAGAGAACCCACAATTCCCTGTCCTATGTGAAGTCCAGAACCAAAGTCAGACTGTGTGAGACAAATGACACCTGCTTCCACTTTATG